GACCATTTTGTTGTTGTCGACAGGTCCCGAAGGCGTAGCGGCAGTGGCGTGACGGACATACACTCGCAGCAGCAGCAGCAACAGCAACAGCAGCAGCAGCAGCAGCAGCAGCTGCAGGAGAACAACAACAGCAGCTCGCGGGACGCGAAGAAGCCGCAGGAGGGGCTGGGTCCCGATGAGATGTGGGCCCCTGGCGGGCTAGGGCCTCACCGGGAGCTACCAGTCGACGTGCCCGACACCCTTCTCCAGAAGGCTTACCCCAACAAGGTAAAGAACAACCGCTCGTCCGGCTATCGGAACGAGATACGTGGTCGTCCCCGTAGCGCTAGCGATCTCGACCTCTCCCTGAACCTTAAAAACGACATCCTTAAACAACCGCCGCGGCCGATTCACCTGGCCGACGAGCGCGCCAGAGTCGAGTCCACGACGGACGTGACGTGCGCTCGAACGAACGGTCAGCCGCCGATGCTCAAGATCGAGCTGAAGATCGAGCCGAAGGAGGACGGCAACCTCGAGGGCGAGGACGAGTGCGACAGAGTGAACAACAGAGAGTCGTCGAGAGTGGAAGGATTGGACAGAAACAGCAGGAGCCCGTCTGCGTTTGAATCGCCAGATCTGAAGAATCCGTTGAGAGACTTTGAGGAGGAAGAAGAGGAGGAAGAGGAGGAGGAGGAGGAGGAGGAGGAGGAGGAAGAGGACGAAGGTGTGAACGAAGACAGGACAGGACAGAAAGAGTCCTGCGTGGACATCGAGGAGGACTACCCGTTCGCGAAGGAGGACTATCCGACCATGTTGAAGACCTGCAGCGACGACTCGGCCAGCCCGAGAAGCTCCTCGGGGAGGTCGGACAGCACAGCTCCGTTGGACAGCAGCTTGGTGCTGAGACACCAAGGGAAAAGTCGTGAGAAAGATTCGCCCACGTACGACGCCAGGAGGATAGATCTCGGTTCACCGTGTAGATCCGTGGTCCCGGAGATCAAAGTGGCGCCTCTGTTCGGCAGAGCCAGAGACACCACGTCTTTCGACAATCCCGCTTACGGGCTGGCCGACCTGCAGGATCTGCAGGGTCTTCTCATGAGGTCCGACGAGGTCTCCGATCTGACCAGGCTCATAGACGAACAGTGTACGATCCCTCGCGACCAAGGTCACACGTCCTTGTCGTCGCTCGCTCGCGGCAACGATCAGCAACACGACCATCAACGTGGCGGCGACGAGTTGCTGAAGTCAGAGTCGAGCAAATCACCGTCCGGCAAATCGCTTTCCTCGAAATCGTCGTCGAAGAAAGCGCCGAGGCGGCAGGAGGACCGACAAGCGAAGCAAAAAGGGAAAACGAGAAGCCTGGACGTCGAGGAGCTGATAAGAATTGGATCCAGCGACGATCTGCTGGGCATCGAGTCCGGCAGCAGCCTCTCCTCGTCCTCGAGGCAACGACCAAAGAAGAAGAGGCACCAGCAGATCTCCAGCGGCTACTCGACCCTGAGGAGCGACGCGTCGACCGATCTCGAGCACGTTGACCGTAGCTCGTTTCTCGTCCTCGGCGGTAAAACCTACCGCGAGATGGCCGTCGACTGTCCGCCCGATTTCGTCCCCGTGGCCAAGTGCCACCCTGTCTATCCTCCGCCGAACAAAACGCCCGCGAGCAGCAAGCACAACACTCTCGAGTCGAGGCGCGAGCGTAGAGACGGCACTCTCGGCAGGGATAGCAGCTCGGCAGGCTCGACGGCCCCCGGGGACGACGGGAGTCGCGACCTATGCGCCACGAGCATCGTGGTGGCCTCCTCTTCTCCTTGCGTTCGATCGAACGACACGGTTGTCGCTGGTAGCTTCGCCACGCTGCCAGCCAGCGGCGACCAGAGTATAGCCGAAGCTACGGAGAACGTAGTTGTTGCTAGTAGGTCGCCTCGTACGCTGGGCCGAAGGCACGAGCACGAGAAGAAGGTAAGGTCCAAAGTCAAGAGTCTGCTTTTCGATAGCCTCTTCTCTATCGTCCAGCATCAGCCCCGCCAAGCCACGTCTCCGCTTCACGTTTCTTCTACCGCTGACACCGCTGCTAACCGCTTCGACACTAGCCCTAAAATCTGTAAGAGGTGTTTGGATATCCTTGTCCGCTCCGAGGTCGCCGACAACAACTCGGACAGTTCCGATTCCGATATCTGCAATAATTGCTCTAATGCGTTCCTATCTTGCTCTAACAACGGCCGGCAGCTTCGACGGCCACCTCTGTCGTCGAGTTCCTCTCCCGATTTTAAACAGCAAGGTACTGTTGTCCCGAGAGACGACCATCCGACGCCAACCAACGACCTGCAGGTGCGTTCCCATTTTCATCGCGATTTCTCGTACTCCTCCGTTCGAATTTACGTCCTTTCGTTTACGATAGTCTACCAGGCCGCCGCCATTCAACCAGACGAAGCCAAAAGTGTATACATTGATCGAATCATTGATTAACAGACTATGAGTCTGTTAATCCGTTTTGAAATAGAATCTTTTCCGAATATTTCTTGGTAACATTTTGACAAAGGCCTGGAATTTTTTCTTTT